AAGGGAGGGAGACAGAGGGTAAAGGTCGTCATATTCCACACCACTCACCAGGTAAATAAACTTGGGCCTGTACTGGTGAATGCCAAATATGCCAAACAAGATGATGATGATGTCAATGACCCCGACCAGCACCGGCGTCCACATGTAACCAACTATATCAAAGACGAACCGCTCCACTGAAGCAAGCTGTGGAAGAAACAAACACAGTACTAATATCTCCAGTTGGCTGTGAAAGCACTTTCATCATACATCATACATGTATTGATACAACAATTTCTCATGTAAAATGGGATTTTTGGGGGGAAGGGAGGGAGGAGGAAGGGAAGGGAAGAAGAAAGGGAGGCAATTAACTGACAAAGTGTCAACGGTGGAAGTAGTCAATTCTGAGATACACGAATATATATACATGTACATGTACTGGTACATGTACATGTGCGGTACATGTACATATGTACATGTAAATGGCACACTTCAAACAAATTGGCAATTTTAATCCCAGATCTTCTGGGGCACTTTCCTCGTTTGTTTGTCTTGCTTTTTCTCAATTTTTTCCCGACTTTACTTATTAATTTTTCCCAAAGGGGAGGGAGGGTGTTGAGGATAAAGCCCCCTTTGCACCTTCCCCATGTGACACTCAATCTTCCACTGTTAGTGCATAAGAAAAAGTGAAAAAAGGAAAATGAGGCATTCCACACATGTAAAGCATTCGATCTGCTCTTAAACAAGATGAATGTACATGTATCATACGTGTACATGTACGTACATGTACATGTGTGTTGAATATCAAGCATGGAGTTAAAAATATATGTACTTTTTGTATACAGTATTTGTACAGTACACATTCAGTAGTTAAAAACCCTGCCGGTAAGTGGATGGTCAAATATCGTTTTTAACCATCCACATGAAATTCACAGATGACGACGTGAATCACAGACAATTTCCAGATTTCAGGCTTTGGAGCGCAGAATGCTCGTTGCATACTTCGTGTGTTGTAAACTGTGACAGAACGTGGCCACGAAATTCCTGGGGCAGGTTGTTTGTTTAAAGACGTGTTGGGGCCATAAGCGTTCTCTAAAACAAATGTGCATGAGATAATTACGTATGTGCGATAATTAAGTATGTACATGTAGTACAGGACATATATCAATATAAGGTATTATTGTACATGTACCTCATACATATTTATGTCGGATCGCTGAACTCTCATTGGTGCATTTGCGGTCAGGCACCAGCCACTATTTTTGCTGTTTGTTAAAGCACACGCGATCGTTCATGCAAGGAGTAAATTTATATGCATGCATTTTTAACTGTTGCCCGACTTACTACCCGGGTGACAGTTAAAAAACACATGCGCAGGCAGAAAATCCAGCAACTGTTGCCCGGGTGTTCTGTGCACTTGTGGTGGCACCAGCCTACATGTTGCAACGGTCTACATGCATTCTTGTGTGTAAAATAAATGTAAATCGAAAAAGATGAAGTGTGTTTCGACCTAAGGAACAAAATAAAAGTTCATGGAAACAAATCAATGATAATGTTTCTATCTTCAGAGGTTATTAGATAACATACATTGTATGTATGAGATACAATATAATAAAACAAATATAACATGGCTTATTTCGATTGGACAGTTCGCCTCGGGAACTAGTTTGTCAACTCCCAATACCTCGGGGAGCTAACATAGACTATCCAATCTCAAGCTATGTAATATTAGTACATGTACATGTACAGTACCTGCCACACATGCATGTATACATGTACATGTAATTTCTGTGATAACTGCTCATTGATTCTGTACAGTTTTATGCCTGTATGCACTGGTGCCCTGAATATATCCCAGGCTCCTTTTATACAATATACACTGTAAATAAACCAGTGCACATGAAGACGGAGAGCCATGCTTTGGGCTGTGACCAAAAATGAATTTTAGCATGGCATTTTCTTGCGTGATCAGTTGAAAAACTGATAGCATGATCCGATAATGAGCATGATGTTCACGCATACTCCATACTACGCTCAGACTGAAAGTTTTGAATTTTGTTTGTAACATACATGAACATGTACAGTCCTTTTTTTAAAGAGCACCTCAAGTAAAACATGTTTTCTCTGATTTTATCTGTTCAAATAAATATGGATGCAGTGTCATTTGTCTTCAGAACTCAACTATAACAAGCTTAAACGGTTTTTTTTCAAGGCGAGATGCGAATTCTGAATGTAGATTACGTCATTCGGAGAAAACGCAGGAAACGAGGGAAACCCTTGCCCTGTGTTCATAGTGGATAAACTCTTGTGCGTGCCAAACAAAAAACAATTTTAAGCTTGTTATAGTTGAGCTCTGAAGACAAATGACACTGCCTTCGATTTGGACGCTTCCATATTTACTTGAACAGATAAAAATCAGATAAAAAACATGTTTTCCTGAGAGGTGCTCTTTTGGTTATCCTGTTTTCAGTCTATTATCCATAATAAATAAGCAGTCTTGACTAAATAGAGTGGCTCTTCAGAAGCACTGGTGTTCTTCAACTTGGATCTGAAAGTATTGTAGGGTTTTTCCTGTACCATCCACATTTTGCAGTGTTTTCTGAGAGGTGTCAATTGAAATGAATTTTTACGTGTACAGCAGTACCATGGTTTCTTTATTCCACTTCTTTAGCAACACAAGAGTACTGTACTCTGCGATGTAAAAAACCTGTTTTGTGGCATTAATACACTGTAGTACCACTTTTCCTACTAAGGCCCAGTAAAGTACATGCACTACCATAGTAGTCTCCCTAAGCCATTGTCAATGACAGTCAGCACTCTATCTGCACCTCAAATGTGTCATTTCTACACGTATGTGAGCCTTATTTACATTGGACCAGTTCGTCAATTTCCCATTTAATTACATTTGTACAAATCCAAAATGCAGTATTCCCTGTATGTACTGTGGAGGGAGTCCAAAGTACCATGTACCCGGTACTTACATGTACCGGTACATGTATACTGGTACATGTACATCATGAATACTGGACCATCACATAGTTGGATAAGCTGTTTATTATTGGGGTTCCACCCCTGTCAGTCATGCCTGTCTCCTGATGTTACATCCACCTGTGCATTTGGTTTCCAGGTGACTCATTATTAAATTATTAATTGCTGATGCCAGGTGAATATTCAGGTATAGTACTTGTACCGGTACATGAGTTCCCCATATTAACCCTAACCGCCCCAAAGCCATCAAAATCAATTTCCACTATTCTGGTGGATTTTCATGGACTCAGTTCAGAAGGCCTGAAGTGACCAGCTGTTGATGGATTATGATGGGCATGGTCCAGAGGCCCGAAACACTGCCGGGGCATTCAGTGGACATTGTCATGGCAACAATACTGATGATGTCATGTAAGCTATGTGTAACAGGTCCAGCAAATTAACAAAGACCATGAAGCTAGTGGTGAACCTTTTAGCAAGAAAAATGTGGACTGTCCGGGGAGAATTGAAATTTGATGGATTAGGTCCAGTGCCTACCTATAGTAAAAGACACTACATTTATACAAGTACATGTACATAGGGTTATACATGTACATTACCCTCTACAAAATAGTTGATTTTTTGAGACAAGAACAGGAATACCATTCCTTAGAAAAAAAGGAAGATGTGACATTCGTCTCTCTTGTTATGTTCACTTTGAGGACATGACAACTGGGATAATGTGAAAAAGGCCGGTGCTTACACACCTACGGGGCTACACGTACATGTACCGGTACATGTACCGTAGCAGTACATGTAGGTTTGGCTGACTGGGACTGGGTTTTACAACATACATGTACATGTACATGTTGGTACATGCACATGTACATGTACATGTACGTCCGATACCATGGTGTTTTGAGTCAGTTTCTACAAGGGTCATACAGTAATGCTGAGTAGGTAATTGTTTTACTCAATCAATGTTCCAACTAGCTGACGCCTTTTATCACAACGAAAATCTGCTTCAGCTTGAGGATTTTAAGTCTCATAATCCACACCGTTGAAGTGTCTCAAATGTACCTGGCACATCCGACACCGTGAAATTGCCCGGGACTAAATTCCAGTGGTTTAATTACATTAAAACAATGTCTACATTGTCTCATTTAGTGTGGACATGACTCACCACAATGTTATTGACAAATGAAACATCACTTTCTGGTCACTTTTTGGCACAGAAAGAAAACTTGACAGTCATGGCCCAGTAGTACTTTGGCACTGAAACTGCTGTTTAATTTGGGTTCATCGTCTCCAAGTGGGTGTACTGCACGGCCATTGTGGTGGTCAATTGCTGTCCATGATATTGTCGTTGATAATGAGGAGTACCGTACCTGAATACTTGGATGATTTGTCATCAGTTATGGCCTTGCTTGCTTTTATGACAGATTACGGTACATTCATAATACGTGTAGGCAGTTTAGCCATTATAATTGGCTGCAAACCTGTACAGTGTGATGCACATGTACATGTACAATTGGGTACCAGTATGTACACGTAGGTTTTGTAGGCCGGTGCCAAACACATACATGTACATATGTACATGTATATTTGTAGAACAGTGAATGAAAGGTTATGTAAAAGAACTGAGTTTCTTTGCAACCGAAATTGCCTTTTACATGTACACGTACATGTATGTACATGTACATACATGTATGTGTAACATTTCTTCATCCACTTATGGACTACAGTGTAGTGCTTTAAAGTTAAATTGTCATGATCTTAATGGGTTGTTTCTTGTACCAATAAAAAAAATTTCTATGCTGGAAGCTTTGAAGGCTGAATATTTGCCATACAGTGGAATATTCGATGAAACCTAGCATGCTTGGGGTTGAAGATCCATGTACTCAATCTGACTCAACCCTTCGTTTGTGACTTTGTTGTAAAACTCGTCGTGCATTTTGTGATTAGATCTGTGCAAATGGTAGTAAACTGTACATCATAAATGTATTGATTACTTCGATTTATTTCCATTTATCACAGTTGAAAAGACAATCGGCACCACAGACACACATGGTGATGCATGAGGATCACCTGACAGGAGCATCTAAGTTCCAATCTGAAAATTGTAACTTTACAGGGAGTGTAAATACAAAACGAAGACAAATATTGTTTTGAATCTACAATCTATCGCACCACGGGTATCAGAACATTACACGTATATGTACCGGTACTATGTACATGATGTACAGTGGTAATGCACCATTACTGTATGGACATTCATAAATTTTGCATTTGTCCTGTCCTTGTTTGGACAACTGCAAAACTGGACGTTGTATGAACTGCACCTCCTGCGTATGAAATCAAACTGCAAATATTTATCAAGTTGGATAATATCTCAGGAAGTCAAATTTGTAAACTATTGCCGATAGAATTTACATCCCAGACAGGAAGTGGTCCAAATTTTTGTTTGAGCCACATGTTGTGACCGCTGAAACCTTTATTTCTGGATAGGTTAGAGGCTTTGAAGAACACAAAGCAGTATTGTGGCTGGCTGTGTGTCCTGCTAAAGTGATTTCTGTAGACTGGTTCTTGCACTCATGCACAGTACAGTGGTTGCTCATTGTACCCTGAAGTGACAAGGGAACGATACGTGGAAATCAAATGCCCTTACAATCCCTTTGTGTGCAGCTTCAAGAAATTTAATCTGAGTGTACTTTTCCCACAGAATCTGAGTAGGGGATTGTAGGCTACTGAGCCTACTGTTGAGACATGGGAACAATGGTCTCCTTTCAACTAGGGCAAAACTAATATTTTTACAAGCTGTGCATTTTTGTGCACAAAACACCTGCAATAAGGTGAATGTGCGGGGGCACTGGGGTCATGTTCTGTTGATGTAATTGTATCTTATTCTCTTCTTTGCAACATACATGTACATGTAAAAAGTTGCTTGGATGTGTCGCTTCCATGCCTCCATAGTACATGTAGTGACTTTCAAATTCAACCGTCCTGAAATTTGTCATGTATATGTCAAATGCAGTAAGCCAATTACTGAAAGTGGCATTTTGAAGTGAGCTTGGTGCTTTTATGAACTTTTTGCTGGTCACAAAACGGAACTAGTTTTGGTGAGACAATTGTGGAAGTTCTTTCAATAAGGACCCCCTCCCCTAAAAGTCATCATGCTTCCAGTTTCCCAACTAACATGTACCCTTCTTTGAAGGCACAATCCTGAAGTTTCTTTGGGAAAATGTGAAATTGCAAGTAGCGGAAAAGTGTGTCTCAGGGCGGGAATTTCACAGAGGCATCGGAGGCAATCGCCTCGATGCCCCTGATCTTTGCCTCAATGCCCATTGAAATGTCCCCATAGACAAGTTGATATTCTCACACAAGTGCCCTTTGCAAACGAGAAATTGCCTTACCCTTTCAAGAATGAAAGTCCCTGCCCTGGGGTCTACTGTAGTTTGAATGTTGTGCAAAAATGTTGAACAGAAAATTACACATGCAAGGTAGACAAATGAACTACATACATGTACATTTATGTGGTTCACATAGTACCCTTGTCCCGGGGTAAGTGTCGTGCATATTTCCAACCTCCCAATATCACTACTGTACACAAACAGCTTTATGTAGCTGCAAAATGAATCAGTACATTTTATAATCTTAAAAAAGGGTGCCAAAAACACCCAAAATTACTACATGTACAGTACCTGCTGGTACCGATATGTCACTTTTTTCAAATGCCATGTAATAAGAAAGTTTGGCTAAGTGATGTGCATACGTGAGTGTACATGCACATGTGCACAACACAAAAGGACAAAAGGCAATCAAAATATACCGCTACGGTACACTAGAAATCATCAATTGTAACAGTTTTGAATCTTCCACTTGTGAACTTTGATATTGCATCTCCACACTAGCAGTGGTTAAAAAAATTGGTTTGGACACATACACCGCTACATGTACATATACAAAATATTCAAGTGACCAGTAAAAATTCCTGCAGGTAGCAAAAATAAGTTAACTTGCCCAGCCGGCCAGTTACAAAAAAAAAAGAAAGCTTGAGGTCAAGGCCTCAGTACAGGTCAATTCACATGTGTACCAAAACGGGATTGAAAATAACATACATACAGTACATGTATTTGTACACGTACACCACCTTTGTACATTCACTCAGAGTGATGTCTGGAACAACAAGGACAGTATTCATGGTATTGATACAGTAGGTCCCTATCACACAGCCATATGGTCAGCAAGATGCACCCACCATCTGTAATCCTTTGTTATGCAATAATGATATTGGTGCTAGTACTTCAATACCACAGTACACGTACACGTAGGTATACTGCCTAGTCTGGACAAAGCAATCAATGAAACCATTCCGGACGTGTGGGGAAAATGTACGCTTAGTGTCCTTTACAAAGACAACACAATTCTGTAGCATGTGTAAAATATCCCATTGTTTCGGATGACACATTTATTATTGAATTAATCACCAAACTATTTACATGTAGTAACACAGAAACATCGTGGTATATGACTGTGTTAATTAATGTTAAATGCTGTTACTTTGCTAGCCATGATCCCAATTATAAAAAGGTGTAACATGCGACATTGCGTAACCCGTGGACTTGTCCTGTGGGCCAGGCTGACTGCATTTCACATTAATTTCTGTGTACCTTTGAGATAAGAAGTCATTTAGTATGTTTAGATGATGTACATCAATACCTATGTCAGTTTGCTCCCTACAGTTGGCACAAAAGTGTGAATTATGCAAAAATGTGATCATCTTCCAACATATACATGTCCACAGTTCCTGAAAGAGTCACACCTTCACAACTTCTCAATTTGTCTCATGCTGTACATGCATGTATGCACTCGATGTTGTGCCTGCACGGACATGGGCATGTACACGTACACGTATATCATGCAACCCTACTTATTTTTGGTTTTTCTTGTTGGAAGCTCTAGATATATCGACCAGACTGATTACAGACTTTGATGTACATGTAAATTGAAAGATGAAACACAATTTGCTTTTAATTTTGACAAAATTAAAAAATGTAGGTTCAAGTAAATAAAGAAAGTGAAACTGAAAAGGAAATACACAATGAACATGATGAACGATTAATTCAATACAATGTTAAACATCACAATCAATGGTGATCAAAATATAAAGGTACGCATATCGGTACACATGTATGTTATTAAAATTTCTCTCCACAAATTTTAGAATAAAAAGATGAATGTACAAACCTATGCAATTTATTATATAGGCCTATATGTATGTAATTTTTGACAATAAACAGCATGTATACATCACCTAGGTCTAGCTACGTGTATTAAGTGCCATGTCCATGATTACAAAAAACAAGTAAGCCCCTAGGCCCATGCTAAAACTTGAATAAAGAGAAACTAGGCTCACCCGATATATATGTAGGTTGCATGAATTTTGATAAAGGAACACTGAAAATAACTAAATAAAGTTTAAACTGCTCAAATGTGCCTGAAAAGCCAACAGTATTTCAGATTTTGGGGCAATTCTGGTCATGAGTTTATCACGAGAGCATTACCATGGTTGTACAATGTCATGTACAATTGCACCGGTACATGTATCAGGCATGTAGGGCCTAAACGCATCATGCATGTTTATTTTACGTGACAGTCACCTGGTCGTAGCTTGCACTCGATGCCAACAACACACTTCATTCAACACGGCCGGCCCGGCCAACCCAAGTAAGTTGGAGCACCACTTCATAAACTCTGGCAGAATAAACATTAAAACTCACCATTTGCAGCGCACATATGGTCATCAGCGTACATCTCGCCGTACAGCATCCCATCTTGACAGAAATCTGTATTTTAAATGCTGTAATCGCTTCCTCCAACCGCGACCTTCTTCACCATCAAGCTTCCTACATCTTGATCAGCTTACTCATTTTCATCATTGATATGGATTGTTTACCTACGCGCCACATACTTTGGGTCAAGGGTTGAGAAAATTCCACCGATGTAGTTCTATAATTTACAAATTATTTTTCAAATTGCGCAAGTTAATAACTAACTTCCAAATTTACAGGAATAAATTAATTTATCTTACGAAAATGGCTAGTAACTTAAACCGTAGATGGGGGAAATGAAAAAATTAATAATACTTATTACTAGGCAGAGAAAAATGTTGTCAGTTTTAACAAGTGGTGGCGCCCTGCATAATTCGTGGTTCGTTCGTCGCCAACACAGGGCCCAATCGGGGGAGGGAGCCCAGGTTGGACGACGTCTACGTTACTTGCGACTAGTCTTAGTTTCAAGACGTTGATGCTTGTTAGCGGACACCGTGCATAGTGCGCCACCTAACGACTCATGCGGCAGCTCGCACTAAGGCCGTGTCCGAAACTGGCTTCCAGAGCTACGGCTAGGTCTATTGTCTACGTGTCTCCACACATTTCCAATGGAGTGCGGACCTAGACCTAGCTCTAGACAACAGATTCGGATGCAGCCTAAGTAAAAACTAGTTGTGCAAGGGCGCTCTTCAACAGAAATAAAACAACTATCCATCACTAACGTCTTGGGCCAAGACTACATTACGATTTTTGTAGACGTCGTCCAACCTGGGCTGGGGTGGGGGCGAACCGTTCCACGGTAGCCAAACACGGACACTGGAAACCCATGGAAGAAAGAACACAGCGTAGTGCCGCGTATCTTTGCTGGAAACCGGGCTGTAAATTTTGAATTTTCCAAACATTTGGTTTCATTCAGTCGAAGCATAATCGGAGGGTCTTGTTTGACGACAGTCCTCGTATTAAATAGAAAAAACATCCAAAAGCATACATTCAAATGACCCTGTGGGGAAATAAGACTTTTTGAAGAAAAAGTCAGGCGACCCGTTGTGAAATAACTTACCAAAATTTGGTAACCTCCGTTGAGTGCAAAATGTGTGCAAAAGTCCAGTAACTTGAAACTACCAGTGAAATGACGGGAAATGAGTAAAAAAAATAATCCTGGACAAGGATTGCGCCGTCCATCTATCCATCTATAGTTAATTTTTTCACCAGGGAACGGTGCATGATGCTTTTCTGACCTCTCCTTAAGTTCAGTGCCCATCAACCCCTCCCCCCGTTCCTTGAAAGCTAGATCCGCCCCTGCAACGACTGCGCTTTGTCGAGACATTTATTTTAATGATAATATATCTTTGAAATTCAAAGATAACGCATCTTGGAAACATGGAATTCAACGCGGCAAAGACCCAAGGGGGGGTGGCAAAACCAGAAAGCAGCGTCCCTGGTCAGGGGCGGATCTAGCTTTCGGGAAACAGGGGTGTTGATGGGCGACAGGGTTGTATACACTTGCCATGCTTGTTGTTCACGGACCACTAGCGCTCACGGGTTCGGCCTCATCTTTGATCCACCGGAAATTGATACATGTAATTGTTTAACTAACTATAGATGGATGGATGGACAGGGTAAGTTCGTCCCGGACTTTTTGTATTCATTCCGTCATGTTAATGGTACAGTGTAGTTCCATTTAGTCCGCGGCTGAAGGGGGGGGGGGGGGGTTGCAACTCCCGTCCCCTAGATCGGCCTCCAATTAATGGTGCGCCAATTAAGTTGCATTAACTGATCGCACCATGCGGTGACGATGTGAAGCAGCTTCTCAGCGATTTCTGAGCCGTAAAATGGCTCTGTTCATACTAAGCAATTCACTGCCATTTGATTAAGACACTTAATATCTTCATTCTGATTGATTTAAAAATCATCTTCTTTTTGGGGACCCTCCCTATCTGCCCCAAGCTGGGTGTGAAGTGTACTGATATGACACCAGTTTTGAGAGCTATCCCGCAAAAACAATGTCTAAAATTTGAATTCCAAGTTTCGGAGATGTATCATCATTGATTTTAGGATTTCCCAAATACCGTATAATCGTTGATTTAATTCAATGTTTCCAAGATAAGTTATGTTTGAGCTCTGCATTTCACAGATCATTGAAATCAGCATCCCCACAAAGCGTTATCAATTGAATTCAGCGTTTTGGGATAATGAAATCAATGTTATCCAGCAGCGCATGTTTCTCGGTAACGTAGTAACATGGATGATCATTTAAGCTTTTGTACTTAATGAAACGATATCGATGACATGAGGTTTCATACATCTTGATGAACTTATTATCCTCAGTTTAGTTAAAATCACATTACATTTACATCGGCACGAACAATACATTTCTGAGTAGCATACGGGTACATCATGTATACATCCTTTGCCACATACAAGTAGGCCTGAACCACGGAGGACTTCTTTTTTGTTTCAGATCAGGGGTATTAAATAAAAGTAAAAGTGGGAACGGGCCATGATGCGTGCGTGGCTTGTGGTCATTATGTTATTTCTAAGGGAGACAGGTTGGCATGACTCTCAGGCTTCGCCTTCCACCTCTGAGGCTGCAGGTCCTCGGCGGGTTCGTTCGAATCCCATGATGCAGCTTGGTAACTCGGTCCACATGTGGATTGGGTCCTTAAACCTGATTCCTTGGGTTTTGGTTTTACCCAGGGTATTCCTGTGGAATTTTCCTCCACCTCTAAAACTGTAACTGCTTCTCGCAGTGTCATCCTCCTCTCTGCAAGTTGGCGATGTTTAGTTCAAGTCCCCGGGCTACTTTGTCAGCTTCATAGGATACGGATCATCCAGACAGATTGTCTGCCGCATATTTGGAAAGACCGCCCTCAACTACGAAATGATCTCATATCGACACGGCGCACTTCAATCGCGGGTACCCAAGCCCCAACATACGCGATTGGCGTGTCAACAAGTTCTACATGAATCTGCCATCCTGGCTACATTATCGTCAATTATCGCTGGACGTGGATGTCCATCGCTTGTAAAGTGTGAGCCAGTGCTGGCAAGTGTTGTATTGCCAATCCCGTGTCAGTACAGGTTTTTTTAAATTTTATGTCACCGAAGTACAGGTAGTTCAGTGCGCTGAGCTACCCCTGTTTTTGTAAAATTAAAAATTTCACGTTTTACTCTAGAAATCACCTTTATTTACACTTTAAGGACATAGTGGGAGATGGTTGGGATACATGTTGTTGGGTCTATCACAGGAGTCTTGCACTGTACTAATTGACTTAAGCATCCTACATCATACATGTATGGATTGTAATAATATTAGTGAACCTCATTCTCTCTTGTCCACCATTGTACATGTACAGGTTGCGTCTGTCATGTCTGTCGTGTTCGTATCCTTCCTCCATAGTCATGTCTGCCATTGTTGTCTGTACTATACTGTACACCCATGTACTTACACTTTACACTAATTTACTTCTCAGCTTGGGAAAAACATCAGTGCAGAATTTTATGAGCAAAATAAAGTAGTATTTGGAGAATCATGGAGGCGCAATGCAAGACTCTTATAGTTGTGATTTTTTTTTGTTTTTTGCAGATTGATGTTGATTACCATCTATCAATGAAGTTACATGTATTGTAAGAAGTTTTCACTGGTTTATGCAGTCCACTTGATAAAAAGTTTGCAATGGAGGCAGAGATGGATTTAGATGTAGCCTTGCATGAACTGGGAATGTTGAGTGCTGTCACGGACAGCCGTAGAGACTACCTCAATGAGCAGGCACAACGACGACGGACCTCGTCCTGTTACAGTGTGCTGCAAATGAATCCAACATATGTGACCTGTCTTGGGCCAGTCTGTTATTCAGTTAAGCCGAAGTCTACGGAGGTTGATGTGGGTGAGGCTCCAAGGAGTTTGAGGGCGTCGGGCTCTGTTCCCGATCTCCTGACAGACGACAGGCGAGTGTCCCGCCACCAGAGGTCGAAGCCGCGGTACAGCCGTCCGTATCACATCCCGAAGCATGCCTCAAACAGCCGTGTCCGACGGACTACGGGACCAACCGAAGACAAACGCGAGGCAGACAAAACAAATTCAGAGGAGGCCTCAGTCTTTCTCAGTTCAAACTCTGAAGTGATGCCAACCGTCCACTTGCTGACGCGATCCAAGTCAGTGGACGATCTAAGCAAGACTGGATTGCCTGACCAGGTCGTGATGAGCTCAGCAGTCAGGACCCAACATCAGGAACTTGAAATGGTCTCCAGGCATTTGAGAGACTTGCAAGTGTCTTCCAGTTGACTGAAATTTGGTGCAGGGAATATTCCTGAAGGTTTCAGATGTACATCTCAGGAATTGCTGAGCATCAGCATTGGAGACCCTACACAGATGTTGTAAGGCCAAGTAAACGAAAAGCTCAACATGTTTAGCATCCAGACATTTGAAAAGGAGATGTAGATGCTTCATTCTCAAGATGGCAGCCGTTCTTTTATGTCCGACAAAGTTTGTTTCCACTGTTCAGAAATACATGTACAGAAAGAAAGACTCATTGAAAAAGAAAATTGGACCTACCCCATATCATGGAAGTGGCATTTGTTACTTGTGTGGCACGGTTTTGCAAGAATTCAAAAAAACAAAGTCATAGACTTGTGTGCAATTTGCAGCTCAAGTCAAATATTCAGTTGGGGCCATCATGCAGTGACGCAGTCAAGGGGAGGGGTGGCTGGGGCATGTGTCCCCCCCCCCAGGGGCCCCCACTGAAAAAAACAGATGAATGGATATTGAACAAGGCTAACAAAACTTGCCCTAAAAAAACCACACCACTGAAAGCTGGTGCCCCGCCCCCCCCAGTAAAATACTAGCTACACCACTGCCATCATGATACTTGTAATGTCCATGACGTTGTAGTTGCCAGTTCCCTAATTCACCCACCTTTTGTAAAGTCTAGTTTTCACAGGAAGGGGTGAAATAAGGAAACTGGCAACTATACCGTGAAGGATATTAAAGACATGAGATATTGCGGGTGACTGAGATACAGGAAAAATGCAGTAACCAACAGCATCTAAAGTTGGAAGATGAGACTCACGATTATCATATTTTCAGATGGATTAGACGACATCTTTGCTTTATTTTTACCTCATTTTTCCTCTTATAAAATTAAAAAAATAAATCCAGGTGGCTTCCAAGGATGTGGGTAAGGATGATAAACATGATTTGTTTTTTACTTGTCCTAGTTCTTAACAGTGGGCTTTGCCATGCATTTACGTGCATCATGGTAAAAAAAAATTGAGTCTTATTAATGTGCAGAAAGACAGGTTTTTGCATCTGAGTGATTCAAGAATTACTTTGAAAAGGCTTAATGTAAACTACTAACGTCTGAATTGGCTTTTCTGTGCAATGTATTTGTTGTGATAACAATGACAAATCTTCCAAGGATTCCATGTCACCTGCATAGCAACAAGAAGAAGTGTTTGAATTGTGTATTTTAGGTCTGCAGTACGAATGGATGCTTGTTAAGGCCGGTTCATACTCTCTGCGTATTCAATGTGTACGCAGCGCGAAGGTCTATTTTGAGGTGTCTGCAGTGCGTGAGGGAAACCCCAGCGCGTAATGAAAATACGCGCCCTTGCACGCAGTTTCTGAAAATAATTGATAGTGTGTACGCGCCAAATATGCGTATTTGGACAAAATGAAATTTTTAAACGTTTGTCGGATATGCACACGCAGCCGAGACTTGAGAAAAGATGAAAGTGTGAACGTCAAATGCGGCGTTCACATTATGCGCTGCGTGGGTACAAATGCGGCGAGTATGAACCAGCCCTTACTTTTTTAACTGAAATGCACTGGACTTCAACAAGACTGGGTACAATTTCACAGCACTGCTGAGCACCTGATTCTACGCTAACACAGTAACAGTGGCTTGCCTCATGTCATAGAGACCTTAACTATCAAGGACAGCAAAAGGCATGCTAACCTTGGAGATCAAATTTGGTTAACTTGGTGACGTCAGTCACGTAACAGTGGAAATCTTCATGCGCGCCCATGCAGTTTTTGTACTAAGCGCAGCAACTGTGAAATGCTGACCTTGAAATACGCTCACCAATAAGCAATTTTTTTTTTTACAGTTAGCCAAAAATTTTGCTTGATGGTAAGCAGTGCTGTGAAATTTGGTCCCCGTCTGAGGGGTTTTGCTACATGTACAGTACATGTAGATTATGAGAAATGGGACAAAAAAGCAACTTGTCAGACCTCTGTAAATGTGCACAAATAGTTTTAAAATTGACTTAATGTAATGATAATGTAATGCAGTGGTCTATGGGTAGAGATAAGTAACATTTACCGGTAGTAACAATACCTCCCTTGTTAAATGTACCTCAAGGTGTATCATGTATGTTCATTGCAGATGTGCGAACAAACTACACATCAATGCCTGTGCTATGTACATGCTGAAATTTTTAAGCAACTGGAAAATGTGCTCTACATTGGACCAGTGGGACATTTGTATTTCCAAACAATCCCTAACTTGCATACATAATGAACTTTGTTTCTTGATTTGAACCCAAACACCTGTTTTTAGATGAACTTATCTTCAGCCATGGGGATAATAAATAGGCCCTTTGGAATTTGAGCTTTGAACAAGTTTGGGCAGGTGGATAGCGTATTGTGTGGTCCCTAAAAATATGTATCAAAACAAATTTATGACTATCCTTAAGTATCAGATTTAAATATTCCCTGAGTGGTGTTGTTTTTTGGCCTCACAGTCAGATGAATGTACAAATGCATTGTGGACCATTTGTTCATCCGCTTTCGTCCCTCTATGATGCTCATTTTGAAATCAGAAAAATGACAGTTTCCATCAAGAACTGTCTCATCCCCCAAAGATCACTCACACACACTAACAGAATTAACTTGTTGATTACTTGGCCTTCCATTCATTTAATTACGTTAATCAATTTATCATACACAATTATACAAATAGACATGAGAAGCTGAATAAATTAACTGGTATAAGTTTTGAACCCCAAAGTGTAAACTTTATAGTTTATTTGCATAACTTTGGAAAATTGGTGTCAAAATCATTCCTAAAGACTTGATGAAGGGCATTCATTTAATGAAAATATTGGCTGTAAAATAAATTAATTTGAAAACAGAATGAGATGGTTGTACCTACACGCCGTAAGCGGGAATAATTTCAAAGCCTAGACAAACACTGAGTGCATTGTCAATATTGCACATACAATGTACATGTAAATGGTCATAATGATGTGAAAAGGCAATTCAAAATAATTATTTTGATCTGTGGCATTACACTGGTACACAGTTACTAAACGAGTAGTACTTTAACGAAATTTCAATGTACAATGTACAGTACATGTAAAGTTACACAAAGTAACATCCACACATGGAACTGATTTGCTGAAATCAGTGGTTGAATGTGTTCGGATTTTTCAAGCATCTTTTGACCATCATTTGCAGTTAACTAAAAACCAACCAATGAAATTATTGTTGCAAGGCATACTTACGTTAAGAGATGGCCCTGTGAAATTATTCTTTCCAGCAAGCTGTCACTTTGAAGGAAACAAAGAAAGGCCATTTCCAATGATGCGTCTAAAGATGGATTTTTTGAAAATTACCATTATTGTGTCACCGGTTGGCTCTTGATATCATGGTCAAGAAAACATGTGGTCTGTTGGAAAAAGGAAAAACCATTGGAAAAGTGAAAACATATAGATGACTAACTGGGCAGATGGTCTCTCCCGTCCGGCCTTCTTGGAGAGGGGCGTGCTGTGGTCAACACTCTTCCGTGGGAATGACACTTAGACCAAACATCTTAAAGTGGCATTCTAACAGGGTCCAGCATTCTCCCTTCTTAACCATGGCATCCACGACATGTAAACACTGGAGCATTCGGGTTGAGGGCAACTGACATCCTTGGAGCAGGCATGGGCCCAGGATAGAGAACATCATAAATGTTGTCATCCGATGAATCGGAGTCCAGCGCATCAGCCATGCCATCTGCAGCAGGCATGGCTAGGGGGGCATCGAACAGGGCATTTGAAACGAGGTCTTGGTTGTGGCCGACTCTTCTCGCTGCGCTGGTCACATGGTAGAAGCATGTTACGATGGAGAGTCTTGGTTGGGCCACTTCCATTGATGGGTTCAACAACATAGACTGGCATATCTGGACTTACTTATCGCCGGACACAGTAGACTGTCTTTCTCCAGCGATTGGCAAGTTTGTGTGGACCTTTTAGGCCAACATTCTTAACCAACACATGGTCACCCGCTTCAGTTGCATGGTCATGAACTCGTTTAAGAGCCTTGTACTTCAGGGCAGTTTTCTCCATAGCTGCAGATGCAAGCTCATGTGCTCTGCGTAACCTCTCCTTCAGGGCTGCAGCATACTTGCTGTGGTTTGCACCTCCACCCTGGGCAGGCAATCCAAACTGAATATCAACGGGTAGTCGTAGCTCACGCCCAAACATCAGAAAGTAGGGCGATACACCAGTGGATGAATGTTTTGTGCTATTATAGGCATGCACTAGCGGGCCAACATGGAGTCACCACTTCCGGTTCTCCTCATCCTCCAGGGTGCTGAGCATGCTGAGCAATGTCTGGTTGAAACGCTCATACTGTCCATTTCCAGAGATGCTAAGTCATGTGACTTGGACTTGAGTTAGACTCGAGTCACTATTTTTGTGACTTGCGACTTGACTTGTAAATACCAGCTTTGACTTGTGACTTGACTTGGACTTGCAAAAATTGACTTGCTCTACCAACCCAAGTCAGACGCTACTCGACTGGCCCCATATTTTTTAATTAAGCTATTCAGTTTACGCCTTACTTGGTCACCCGGACTTCGGCTTGCACGGCTTCTATTTCACCTAGCTGCAGCTGTAGATCAGGAAGCATGCATATCATACTGGTACATTGTGTTTCGTTGACGTGTGACTAGGATAAATAGCGCCCTCACTATGTCATCATTTTATCTCCCCGCTTATTTCCAACCTGCAATGTACATTTGTCAAATTAAACACGAGGACAGATATGTGATTAACTGCAAGAATAGTCATTTCAACACAAGTAAAAAGGGGAATTATGGAGAAAATGGCTAGTTCATTGAGCGACTTGGCAATGGATGAATACCCTTCAACAAATCGACAGTAATATCCAGCAAAGCTGAGAAAGGACTTCAATGCTCTGGCTTTATTAGGAAGCGGCCAAGACTTAACAGCCTCAATCTTGCATGGATCAGTGCTGACGCCCTCAGAGGGGGCACCAGAAAGCTGTCTTGTGCTTGTCTTCCTCCGCCAATTCTATCTGGTAATAACCGGCTTTCAGATCAAGACAGGAAAACCAGGATGCTCCATTCACGGAATGAAGGATGTCCTCTACCTTTGGTATGTTGTACTGGTCTCTGACAGTCTGGCTATTAAGCTTGCGGTAATCAATGCAGAGGTGGAGGTCATCCTTCTTCTTACAGAAGAGTACTACTGGAGAAGCAAACTGGCTGACTGAGTCGTGAGTGATACCTTTGCTCTGCAGATCCCTCAGATGTTGTCGGGCGTCGGCATAATCGGCAGGAGGGATTTGCCGACAGTTCTCACAGAAAGGTGTCTCATCTGTCCGGTGAATCTTGAGTTTGACGGAGGTGGTGCAGCCGATGTCTAGATCATCTCTGGAGAAAACACTGGAACAGACACAAAGTAACCGTTTGATTCGCTTGGCCTCTGCTTCTGGGAGGGGAAAATCAGTAAAGTCAAACTGGGATTCAATACTCTCACCGCCAAGGTGGTCAGTTGACATAGGTGGGAACCCATCTGATGTAAAAGGCAATTCCCCAGCAATTTCAGATACAGATGCAAGCTCGCATCTTGTAGGGACCACAACCGTGTCGCAGGAGACATTGCCGAGTGTGACTTTCATCTTAGCTTTTTGCCTAGCGGGTAGTGAAAGCTGTTGCTCATCGTTATGGCATTGGGGAGGTGGGCAAACTCAGCTTCTGAATGAGAACTTCTCGCTTGGCTCTGCTTCGATTATTCACCAGTCCGGTAACTTGAACTGTCTCATCAGGCTTGATGGAGATGGCCCTCATCATTGTGATGGGACCTAAAACAGCTGAGGAACTCACAGCACAGTCTTTGTAGATTCGCTGCCAAGCAGAATTAACGGAGAGTTTGTCCAGGAAATTTCGCCCACCTTTCTGTTTACAAGCCTGTAACAAACCACGTACCACGCTGGTGTTGGTGCCAACAATCAGGGGAGAGTTGTCACCCCCCGGCGGTCAGGGCATACAAGGGTGAGAGTGGTAGCCTACTGCTCACTTCCGGCGAGTCAACCGGAAATTTCAGGCTAATCTCGACGTAATCCTTGTACGGCACTGGCTGTCCTGCAGCACCTACCACTGTAGGCTGTGATAGGGGATGAAGCTGGCAGTATGCACCTGGAGTTGGTGAGAAGCTTGTTATTATCTGCTGCTGATCCATACACGCGGGAGAGACAGGTTAAATACTCCTGTGCTGAGCTATCGCTGCTGACAGCCCAGACAATGTGTAGCTTGGGTGGGACAAGGGATTCGGTTGTTCTGCTCTTCTTCTCGCTACCGCGATGCTCTTGTCCTTCAGAGGTTGGGGTTGTCAGTCTTCACCAGCTGGGACGGGCGAATTTCTGGAGAACAGTCTCATGCAGCGGTAAGACTGGTTGGACCCCTTATCAAAAACATGTACGACAGGCTTGATGCTGGCACGTTCATGCTTGGTGTCGTCATCGGGATCTAACCTGAGGGACTTGAGGTCATCCAGGGTTTTCCCATTACCGGATAAAAATTCATTAAGGGCCTCCTAATTTTCCATTGTGGTCAGTTGGTACAGGTTTGCAACAATTTTGTAATACTAACTCGATAAGATAAAAACATGAAACGGGGGAAGCACACCCATAACAGAATAAAATGTCCGGTAATAATGCGAAAGGCAAACGCAGCAACAATGACTCACAAGACACAATTCAATCGGTGCAAAATGACAGCTCAAGGTAATATCGGACAAGAAAATTCAACACATTCAGGGTAATAACAATCAAAAGTCAGTGTTTTAGAACAAAAAAAAAGTGCTTCTGTTAGGGGGGATTATTAATTTCCTTCTGCAGTCACTCAACAATTGGCTGAAAAATAGGAAAAGGAGGGAACAACTGAAAAAGGGAATAAATTCAAAGTGAGCAGAATCCGGGCAGTGCCTCCATTTTTTGTGTTACAGGTTGGCTCCCGATATCGTGGTCAAGAAAGCTTGGCCAGTTGGAAAAGGTAAAAACCATGGAAAAACTGAAAACATACAGATGATAATTGGGCAGATGGTTTTTCCCCTCCGGCCCTCTTCGAGAGGCTTCGAGAGGGGTATGCTGTGGTCAACACTCTCCCGTGAGAATGACACTCAGTCGGACCCAACATCTTAAAGTGGCATTCTAACAGGGTAGCATAAGCGTGTGCAAGTGTTGACACATATGCATGTGCTATAATCTGACAGTTCACTGTGTGAAATTGAACAGCTGCCTTTGACTGAACATGAGAATGTGCCCCACTGTCCCAGACACTGAATTCAGGTGTAATCCAAAACATGACCCTGCAAGTTTTGATCTTAAATTGAAATCCCACAATATTGTTTCTCTCATACAAAACAGTATTCGTTCGGAGCTAAAACTTCATCAGGTTTGTTCTTAGGTGCCCCTCTCTAGATTTTGAGTCATTTTGTTCCCTCAAAGCAACATAATGCAGAAGTGACAAATCGCGGACTATACATGTACCTTTAAACTACCATGATTCCTTGTAATTCCTTGGATTTTTATTTTGTCGCCTGTACGCGTTAGTAAATGCGTAGTCTTTGCTTAGAGTCACCATACTGGAATGAAAGAATGTGCAACACAAAGGTTATGTCCAGAGTACTTGCCAGTGGCTTGATATTTCACACGAGACTATGGGGGGGGCTGCCGCAACTGCCTACAGTGCTGTCTGTACATGTATATGTATTTTTATTTCTACAGCCAAGTATAGGATACAACCAAAGACTCTTTACGTCATATGAATATGGACATGAGGGTTGTTAAGTTTGCACCAGAGTCCATTCAGGTCGCCAATGCTTGCAAGTGCAGCCTCTCTTTAAATCCTTACCATGCCAAGGGCATATGTGTTTCCCATTTCCTAAAACGAACTGCCATATTGGATCAGTACTGAGGCTGCACTTGCAAAACAGAAGTTTGTGTTGTGAAGCTGTAATTATCTTTCAGCTGAACGGTCCCTTGGACAAACAGGAAAATCTTTGAAAAATATTTACAATGATGCCTGCACAATGAGTGTGTGAAGTATTGCCACAATGTTCCCCAGCAACTAGAATCTCTCATTAATGCTGTCATTCACAGCTCTCTCTTTTCTGTCAAGTAAAACTGCTCCTTTCAGCAAGACTCAACAGAAGTTCTGTCTCAATTTTGTTTCCTTTTTCAGGGGGAAGTCGCCCCTTAACTTTGGTGACACTGCTGCTTCGCTCAGGACTGTGTGTTCAGCGTCTGCTTGAGTTTGTTGTAGTGTGCCTCAATCTCATCAATCTTCCGCTGGTGCTCTGAGTCCAAGGCGTCTCGCTGCTCGTTCAGCCTCTCTAGGAACACCTTCCAATCCTCCTCCCGTTTTGCCCGTTCCTTCTCCAAAGGCTTACTCTGACAGGGAAAGACAAGAAAATGTAAAGATTAGGGGCACCTAGATGCTCGACGCAAAAACCATGAGTTTTGACGGTGTAGTTGACAGAGGGAGCCCTCCCCCCATGTATTTAAAAACGTCTCTCCATTTGCCCCCCCTCCTCGCAATAAACAATTTGGAGAATTGAAGAAAATGTTCGAAATATTGAGATAAACCAGAAATTCTCTCCCTCCCCCCAACAACCAT